AGAGGTAATAAATTATAAACAATTAAAAAATTGCCATACCTTCCAGACAAACATGGTATGTATGTTTATTATACTGGAACATGCCATGTCCGAATTATGGCAAATATATAATAAAAAATTGGCCTACCACACTTTCCGCTGTTTATTCTAAATCTACAACATTTTAATGACTTAAACTTCTTAACTTTTATCAAATTCACTTCTGCAGCTTAATAAGCCACTGTCGGTGGAATGATAAGTTCGTTTTTTAATTAACTATAACGAATTTCTCGTCATTAGACTTGACCTGTCATAATTAAAATGATTAGAAAAATCTATCGGAACGAGCCCAAACCAAAAACGAAGAAACTGGTGTAAAAGTTTTGACTCTACACCAAGGGTTCACAAATGGTCAATCATAGTTCAGTGAAACCCCGAATTTATAAATAAAGTTCATTTATAATTGTGAGCATATTAACCAGAGAAACATTGCTAATTATTCCGAAAATTTGGAGAAGCAAAACTTTTCACCGTTTTATCAATGTTAATCTTAAAATTAAATTCTATGTCAGACAATTAAGCTCATGAAACAGCATTTAGTCAGGTGCAAAATTTGTTTTTCGTGTAAGCATAAGTTGAAAATGAATTAAATAATCTAACTTAGGGTTTACGCTAAAATGAAAATGAAGTGTTATAAAAGTTGAGATTGCTTATGAAAAACATATTTCTCTATTCTCGAATTCAGTTTTCTTTCATTTTGCATGGAAAAGTTCAAGTGAAAATACAAATGCAAATTTTATACATGCATATCTTTTTCATTATTTCAATATATTTCTTTTTTTCCCCTTCTCTATATTTTACTTAAACTTAAAAAAATTTTATGTTATCAAACCAATCTAGCGTTTGACCATAAGATCAAAAGTTATTCTTCAGACTACACTGTTAGAGATTTTAAACCGAAGTATCGTGCAAATTTGCGTTAGAAGAGTTTTTACCTCTTAAAAAAAAAAAAAAACTTAATGTATTTAAAATGAATCAAATTTATTTCATTTATTTCTTAGATAAATTGTAACTAATACGATGAATGAAGTTCAAAAATATCAAGAATGAAGAATAATTTCTTAAATCGGTGATTCGCAATCGTTCAGGCCTAAGAATCACAAGATGCTTAACCAAATGAATGGGGAACCACATACACTAAAAGGAATGAGAACTTTTAAAGACATATGTCTACTATATACTAATTAAACAGAATGAATATTACAGTTACGTTGGTGTTTTTATACATTTAACAAAGTAATCAAATATAAAAAATGGAATAAAATATGGAACATAAAACAATGCCGTCTTACTTTCTCCATTATATAACTTCGAAACAAATTGTTCACTCGTAATTCCTTAAACGAAACTCATTAGGAGGTATTAATTAGTACTATTCCTTCGAAAGATGTTTAATAAAGAATATTATAAAAATTTAATTGTTTAAAAACGTAATTTTAGTCATTCATAAGGCACATTAAAAGTATAAATCTTATTTCTTAGCTCTATTTTTCATCTTAATGGCTCCCTTGATATTGGTCATCGTTCGCTAGTTTTCCAATATTTAGCTTAAAAGAAGTCGAAACCAAACTTAATGGAGCATTCCAATTCAATAAACAGCTGCAATGTTTATTCTCGATAATACTAGCGGATGACATGAAAACGACTAATGGACCACTGGTTGAGAATGCCTGTCTTTGAATAAAAATGAATCACTTAATGTGGGGTTATATAATCATCATTATAGCGATTTTAAATTTTGTGACGTAAATGTACAAAGTATTCAGGATAAAAAGCAGTTTAATTTTTCATAGAAGTAAAAAAAAATTAAGAAATAGGGAGTGGTATGCATGGGTATAAAAAAAAAGTATAGATAAATTGGATTAAAACTTGAAGCATTCTTAATCGGGGTTTGTAGCCAAATCTTTCAACAAAAAATAAGCACCTTTTAAGTACTCAAAAAATATTTTTAAGCACTTAATACATTAACAAAATGCAAAATTTTAAAAAACTTTACATGATCAGGACAAATTAACTAGTTTCTGACATAGAACTCTTTTCTTGATTATATTAGCCATTATAAAATGATGGAGAGATTTTTTGGTTCGATATCAGAGGGTGGAAAATGAAGTCTGAAATTGAAATTCCTTGAATTCCAAAATGCATTGAATTCCAAATTGTCTTGAAATTCCAAAATGCAGCAGAGTTGCACATGAGAAGGCAATAATTTCACCGAACCCAGCTCAGTAGATGCACATACGGACTCGCAAGTATTTCATCAAACATGTAAAATGATTGGCGATTTCACAACCAACGGTACGCCGAAATGAATTGTGAAAATGTTGAATAGAACAATGTGAAAAGCACGCTATTGCGTAATACGTGGCGAAAATCGACATGATAAAGAAAATAAAATCTCATTTTTCAAAAGGGAAAATTAGTACTTTTTGAAAACATCAAATGAAAAGAGCACCCTTAAGGGCTTTTAAGAGACGAAAATCGAAAACAAGCACTTTTAAGCACTTTTTAAAAACGCTACGCACCATGTTTATACTGAGCTCAACATAATTAAAAGTTAGAACTACGAGAGTTGATAGAACTTACCATAAAAAAGCCGCTCTGTTGAGAATGGCATCGGAAAGCAAGGGACAAGCCACAAGGTGGCACCTATTTATTAAAACTACCTGGATATTGTTTTTTTTTTTTTTTTTTTTTTTTTTTTNGATGTTATGAGTATTACTTTTTTTTTTTTTTTTTTTTTAACTCCAACCTCTAGACACAAAATAGACTTTTCACAAATTAAAATGTAAATTACAGCTGAAGGTGGCTCGTTTGAACATTTGTTGCTAAGTTTTTTAAGTAATAAATAAATAAAAAAAAAAAGATTCTTTATCGTTACATTCTCCAATTTCAAATAGCAGATGCTTTCTCTGAGCTTGCTCTTTGCTTTCCGACCCCATATTGCGTGCATAGTTGTTTGCTTTTATCATCTTTTATAGTTGTTCAACGGCCTTTTATACAGAAGAATTTTCATTTCGATGCAAGGAAAGATACTGTCATATCTTTTTACTTCATTTTTTTCCAAACGCCTATCGAATTACCAAAGAAGTCTTCCAAATTACGTCCCAGCTACAGACTTATGTGAAATGTTTGGATATTTCTAATGTTTGCGTAATTCATTCCAACTCCAACCTCCAGACACAAAATAAGACTTTTCACAAATTAAAGTGTAAATTGCAGCTGGAGGTGGCTCATTTGAACATTTGTTGCGAAGTTTTTATTGAACACAAGAAAAAAAAATAATAATTCTTTATCGTTTGCTATTCGTCTTTATATTCTCCAATTTAAAATAGCAGATTCTTTGCTTTCCGACCCCATATTGCGTGCATAGTTGTTTGTTTTTATCATCTTTTATAGTTGTTCAACGGCCTTTTATACAGAAGAATTTTCATTTCAATGCAAGGAAAAATACTGTCATATTTTTTTACTTCATCTCGTAATATGTAAATAAAATATTAAAACTTCAAAAAAAGTCAATCTTAGCATATTAGCTAAATCCCTCAAAATAAAAAAAAAAATTAATGATAAAAAGTTAATGAAACTTTTTAATTTCAGATTCGAATTCCTCAGCCAAAACTTGACTGAAATCTCCTTTTTAGGGAGAAATTTCCTAACCTTAACCTTTTTTTCCTAGCGTAACCATGTAGTTATTGATAATAATTATAACTAATTCCGAATAACTTACGTGCCATTATTGTAATACCAACAATGTGGTAGAAAATCCTCACCAAACTTTATCTTAAATTATTATTTATAAATTATTATTATTAACGAAACAATTTTAATATAATTTGCAATAAAATATTTATTTTTATTAATAAAAATAAAAAATATATTAAATTTTTGAAAAAAGTAATTTATCCAACATTTTTTTCGTTTCGGGTAAGACAAAATCAAAATTTTATCACTAATGATTGGCGTTAAATTCGATTAGTAGTATTGAAGGACTTAAATTTTCATCCGGCACAGAGGTTCAGTGGAAATTTGAGCATTCTAACTAGCCGAATGTCTGAATTTCGGCTGCGAAATTCCACAAACATGAACAAGCTGTGTAAAATAATATGTAATAAGTAAACAAAAATAAATGAAATACAGAAAATTATAATAATGAACTTTAACGGCTTATTTAATTATGATAATCTCATTGACTAGAATATAATATGTATGTAACATAAGTATACATTAAAATTCTTTTGTTGCTACGTAATTATAACTAGATTTCTTTTTCAATGAAATCATTACTGTCACCGAATTTTATTTGTAGTTATTAATGACAAATAGTTTATGATAAATGTTAAAAATTTATAGCGTATAAACTTACGAGCGTTATTAGTTATTTTATTAATAGATTAATGGAGGGAAATAACAATAAAAAACAAAAATTTAAAAAGATTTTAAAAAAAAAACAAAAATAATATTTTATAAGCAAAATATTAAAAAAAAAATAAAAAACGAAATTTTTGGACTAGTTTGCCTTTTTCTAATTTTTAATTCATTTTTTTTTGGGGGGAGGGATAAATTTTTTTTAATTCTAAACTAGCCATAACGAAAAATAGATAACAACTTTGATCATGCTTTCATATGCGAATGTACACTCGTGAAGCATTCATATTATTTCAAAGGAAGGGAACGATCCTCGATGTACTTAATTTTTCAGACAAAAAAAAAAGAAAAAAAAAAAAAAAAAATAAAAAAGTNCTAAACAATTAAAAAATTGCAAGTGTTTAATAATTTCACATATCTTAAATTAAATATTCTCGTTGCGAGAAGGGCATAAAAAGTTGAAGGTTAAATGAATTATTTCGAAATTTAATGAATAAATAAATGAATAAATGAATTATTTCGAACAAACTGGCTCATATAAACATGAATATATATATATATNATATATATATATATATATAAAATAAAATAAATCTTACCATTACGCTGGACATCGTAACCCCAGGAATCGTCAACAGCCGGGGAAACAGTGTGGGATCGAGAAAGAAAACTCACGCAGGTCCCCAGTTCGAAAACTTTCGATGACACCGAATTAAGACAAAAGCAATTGTAAAATCTTTCTATTATACACACTCCTTCGAATAATTAACTTAATTCATTGAACAAACGAAAGACAATCGCATCGCAGATATCATAAATTGTTGATGACAAGGCAACACTCTTCGAGAAGACCAAAAAAACAAGAAATGTTCTTTTTTGATAGACACTTTTCTTAGCTTCGGAAACCTGTTGTTAGGAGAGTGAGTGACATGCGCAGAAAACTTGGCGGGTCATTCGTGTTCTTTTTTAGCTGTTGGTGTATAATTTTTTTTTCTTCATTTCACCCGTTTAATGAGTTGGCTGCTCTTAACCTAATTGGCTTATGCTTCTCTTCTCTGTTCTACCTGAATAAATAAACAAAAAAAGGCAGGTGGAAAATTAAAGATTTGAGTGTAAATAAACATATTTTGTTTTCATCACGCGGAAATGGATGGAATTGCAATTTGATTCACAGAAAATAATTGTTATGTATTGAATATTCTACGGATATATAAGATAAAAATGAGTCACTTCACGTCTGTAATCTAATAATCATGTTTTCCTTTTTTTTTATTATTTCAAAATAAAAATCAGATTCTAAAAACTTAAAACGATAGAGAATTAGTTTTCACTCTGGCTGCGGGAGTATTTAAGTTCAGTTTAAAAAAAAAAACCATTGTTCCAACTCTTTCAATTTGGTAGCTCTTCTTTAAGGTTTTTTTTCTTCCTTAAAGCTATAAATTTTAAAACAAAAAAATACATTTTCATTGAAACTAATGTAGCACGTTCCACTAAGGCTGATTTTCGACATTTATTTCACATTAAAAAGATTATTTTTTATTTGAAAATAAATATGACCAAAATGAAACTCGTACCCACCGACCATGGATAAATTCATTACGTTTGGTGCATTTAGGAAATACTGCCCCGCCACTGCTCGCTCCGCTCACGAACCCCCGTAATTGTTTCTGATTCATCAATTTCCCCTTAAACGTTGATATTTTCTACAAAAAAACTGAACATTTTGTTTTAAGTGTATAAAGTACATAATAGGTAAATAATTGATATTTATCTTTTGTTGTAAAAAATGGATTTTCCATTATGGATAATTATTAATAAAATCCATTATTTTAAAATGGATTTTTATTGCTTTTAATAAAGTAAAACGATTATATATATATATATAGCACAATAAAAACAAAGAGAAAAAGGAAAAAAATTCATAAGTTTTATTAACTGCGCATTATCTACTATTAACTTACTTTCGTTTTTTTTTTGCTTCCGTTTTTAGTTTGGTTTTATTTTTATTGTGCTATATATATGTACTTGGAGGTTGGGCAGCTCCAAAGAGCAGGGCACATCGATCAGAGGTCGATTGTACCCAAACCCTAAATCACGATAAGCATGAAAGCCCTATATCTGAAATAAAATTCAGCAAGCACCTTGCCGGAACATCTTGCAGTTCCAAGGTTTTGACGTGATGCTGCCCTAAATGCTCAAATCTTTGAGCAGAATAGACCTCGCAATCCCAAATTATATGTCGTGATGTCTCTTCCTCAAGATGACAACTACGACAAAGAGAATTTTATTCAATTCCCTTTGTGTATAGGCGTCTCCTGAGGATGCAGTGGCCAGTTAGAAGACCAATGATCTTCCTTAGACTGTTTCTATTAAGCTTCAAAAGCTCCTTTTGACGTACACTTGGACAGTTACGATTCAGCTCCTTAGCTTGTCTCTGACCGTCAGCAACGCGCCATTGCTCATGGGCAGTTTTGCCGTAGAGCTTGAATATGAATGCCCTAAATGAGGTGGGAGAAATTCCCAGTGCAGGTTCAGGACCCCAGAAAATTTCATTAGAGCCAGCCCGTGCTGCTTCATCAGTTAGCTCATTTCCACCAATACCCATATGTCCAGGTAACCATTGCATGAATACCCTGATATGAGTAGATAGATCACAGAGGACCGAGAAGCATTCCCACATTAACAAAGAGGTAAATTTACACTTTGACGGTGATAGGAGAGCAGTCTGACTGTCAGAACAGATGCGGGTAGTCAAATTTTGCTATCCCCTGTCTAAGCATATCTTGCAGCACAAGATAATGGCATAGACCTCAGCCTGAAAAACAGTGGCGCAGTTTCCCAAGGGAAAGTGAAGTTTGGTACAATCATTGGAGCAATAAATTCCTGCTCCTGATTTGGGACCAATATTTGAATCATCAGTGTACCATATTATACATTTGCCTTTAAGCCACCGAGGAGAATTAAACCGTTCATCTCTAGTAGGAAAATGAATCTTGAAAGGCTAGTGAAAAGCATATCTTAGTGACATATAGTCACTAGGCATAATAAAAGAGGGTATATCCATCGCTTGTGAAACAAGATGATCCCATGACAAGTACTTGGAATACTCTTTCCATAGGCCAAGGTACATAAGACTCTTTATGCCTGTCTAAGCTTCAACTTCAATGTGTAAGTTCAATGGAAGAAGCCCAAGTAAGCTCTCAAGAGCAGCTGTGGGAGTGGTCTTAAGACAGCCTGACAGGGCTACACAGACCATTCTCTGTAGTCTATTAAGATTAGACCTTGCGGAGCGCAATCTAGTCCTTGACTACCAGACGATTGCGCCATATATGATAGTAGGACTAGTAATCATTGAGTATTCCAGTAAACTATTTTGGAGAATAATCTCCAGCTTCTACCAATAGCATTTCTGCAAGACCAGAAAATCTTTCTGGTATTCAAGATGATAACCCCAATTAAGTTTGGAGACAAAATAAACCCCGAGAAACTTAACTTTCTCCGTGAATTCCAATTTATAGTCCAGGTAGCATACATTATCTAGATCAAGATGCCTTTTTCTTGTGAAGGCTACATAACTTATCTTGGACGGATTTACAGATAAGCCAGAGTCAGAGCACCATCTACTACTTCTAAAAGTCCATTATTCATGATATCAGAGACTGTTTTACCATGCTAGCCTCTGACAACAATAACACCGTCATCAGCGTACCCGNAGTTACGATTCAGCTCCTTTGCTGGTCTCTGCCCGTCAGCAACGCGCCATTGCTCATGGGTAGTTTTGCCGTAGAGCTTGAATATGACTGCCCTAAATGAGGCGGGAGAAATTCCCAGTGCATCTTCAGGGCCCCAGAAAATTGCATTAGTGCCAGCCCGTGCTGCTTCACAAGTTAGCTCATTTCCACCAATACCCATATGTCCAGCTACCCAATGCATGGATACCCTGATGTGCGTAGATAGGTCACAGAGGACCGAGAAGCATTCCCACTCTAGCAAAGAGGTGAATTTACACTTTGATGGTGATAGGAGAGCAGCCTGACTGTCAGAACATATGCGCGTAGTCATATTTTGATATCCTCTGTCTAAGCATGTCTTGCAGCACAAGATTATGGCATAGACCTCAGCCTGAAAAACAGTGGCATAGTTTCCCAAGGGAAAGTGAAGTTTGGTACCAGCATTGGAACAATAAATTCCTGCTCCTGATTTGGGACCAATCTTTGAATCATCAGTGTACCATGTTAGACATTTGCCTTTAAGCCACCGAGGAGAATTAAACCGTTCATCTCTAGTAGGAAAATGGATCTTGAAAGGCTCGTGAAAAGCAGATCTTAGTGACATATAGTCTCTAGGCATAATAAAAGAGGGTATATCCATAGCTTGTGAAATAAGATGGCCCCATGACAAGTGCTTGGAATATTCTTTCCATAGGCCAAGGTACTAAGCTTCAACTTCAATGTGTAAGTTCAATGGAAGAAGCCCAAGTAAGCTCTCAAGAGCAACCGTGGGAGTGGTCCTAAGACAGTCTGACTGGGCTACACAGACCATTCTCTGTAGTCTATTAAGATTAGACCTTGCGGAGCTCAATCTAGTCCTTGACCACCAGACGATTGCGCCATATGTCATAGTAGGATTAGTAATCATTGAGTATATCCTGTAAACTATTTTGGGGGATAATCCGCAGGTTCTACCAATAGCATTTCTGCAAGACCAGAAAATCTTTCTGGTATTCAAGATGATAACCCCAATTAAGTTTGGAGACAAAATAAACCCCGAGAAACTTAACTTTCTCCGTGAATTCCAATTTATAGTCCAGGTAGCATACATTATCTAGATCAAGATGCCTTTTTCTTGTGAAGGCTACATAACTTATCTTGGACGGATTTACAGATAAGCCAGAGTCAGAGCACCATCTACTACTTCTAAAAGTGCATTATTCATGATATCAGAGACTGTTTTACCATGCTAGCCTCTGACAACAATAACACCGTCATCAGCATACCCGATACAGGGAATGCCAAGATCAGTTAACCGAAGTAACAAAGAGTCCATTCCATACACCATAGGATAGGGGACAAAACCCTTCCCTAAGGGCATTCTGAGGTTGCATGCACTCTCATGCTTGCACCCAATAAAGAGGAACGAACATACCTATAAGATAGCAAATTGGCTATCCACCTGATAATTATTGAATTTATGCCTCTGTTCCCAATTGCATTGATGATAGTCTCAACAGAGACTATCATCAATGTTCAACCTGTTCAACAACAGTTTTGAAATTATATGAACGATCAGCTGGAACAAACGTCATAGGTCACGTGTGTGGGTATATTTGTTCTTCCTAAAGTCTAAGAACCCAATTGCAAATCCATTGTTAAAAATTGACTATGATCTATATAAAAATGGCATTGCCTTAAATTATTGTTATCATGTGTATTTTTATTTCAATTATGATGTGTATTAATAGATGAAAAATAAATTAAATAGATGAAAATATAGACAATAAACAAAATAGCGTTGGATTTTCAAACACAATAACAATCTAATTAAAAAAAAATGCTTTGCGATGATTTATTCAAAAGAGTAAGAAATGCGTATTGGCTTCATTAATGGGATATTCTAATTCAGTCCCATGTTCATAAACATATTGCTTTTTAAGATCCTAATAAAGTCTGAATGTTTGACAGATAAAAAAAAAAATAAACTTCCAAAAATGTAACCAATCCTAATTTGTATTAAATCCATGCTGGTATACTGAAAGTCAATCTATTTGCAAATTATAATTGAATCCAAGAAGCATTTACTATTTGCAAATATGATTTTCCTGGGCGGCATTTCCATTTTGACATCTTTTTTCCTGGGGAGTTATTTTAATTAATTCAAAATAAATATCTACCCATGGAATTCATTTGCTTAATAAATTAGCATTACCAA